TATAACAAATGGCGTAATGCAATTTTACTCTAGCTCTACAAGGGTTGTAAGCCACCTATCCTAACAATACTAGTTGCTATGATCACTAGGCACACAACAAGGCTAAGTTGCTACTCACTAAGAACTCTCAACAAAGCTACCCTAAAGAGCTCCACTAGATGAACTTAAGCTACAATGCAAGCTCTCAATTCTAGCTACACTAAAGAGCTTGCTACAACTAGTTTATGGGAAAGTAATGGAGTGAGTAAGGTGGTTATATCGTCGCGTCGAGGAATGAACCAATCACAAGATGTAGACAATCCAATTATCGGGAGAAATCCAATCACACAAGAGACATAAGATTTCTCTCTCGAGGCTCACGTGCATGCCAGCACGCTAGTCCCCGTTGTGTCGACCAACACTTGGTGGTTCGGTGGCTAAGAGGTGTTGCACAAATCTCATTCATACAATTGGACACCGCAAGAACCTACCCAGAAGTGAGGTAACTCAATGACACGAGCAATCCACTAGAGTTACCTTTTGACTCTTCGCCAGGGAAGGTACAGGACCACTCACAATCACCGAAGCAGGCCATGAACAATCACCAACACGTGCCGAAGCTCCTCCGCTGCTCCAAGCCATCTAGGTGGCGGCAACCATCAAGAGAAACAAGAAATCCATAGCCACAGCGATCCCCAAGTGCCACTAGATACAATCACTCAAGCAAATGTACTTGGAATCACACCCAATCTCTCTATGATGATGAATCAATGATGGAGATAAGTGGAAGATGTTTGCCTAGGCTCACAATGATGTTAAGTATGTCAAAGTACCAAGAGAGTGAGCCCCAAGCCGGCCAAACACTATTTATAGATGGCCTTACAAAATAGAGCCATTGGTCCTACCAGGGGCTGACCGGACGCTGTGACCGGATGCGGCCCTGTGTCCGGTCGGGTGAGTCCGGTCACTCGATGGCTGCCACACGTCCCCCATTTGAACCAGAGCCGTCCGATCTCAACGGTCAAAACTCGATCGCTCGCGTGTTAAGTTGTGACCGGACTCGTTGTTGGAAGCGACCAGACACCGCGCCGCGAGAGTCCGATCAACTCCAGTAAGCAACCAGAGAGGATTTTTATGGGCCGAACGTGTCCGGTCACAAGTGACTTGACGCGCCCCAGCGTCCGGTCAGCAATCCGTTCCTCTCCGCGCGCTCACGATGCTGATGGCAGCGTATGTCAGCGTCCACCTGACGCTGCCTCTGGCGTCTTCCGATCGCCACTCGCCTCCTCTGTAAAAAGTGATAGGCCGCACCGATGCACCAGATCCAGCATCCAGTCACTCCTTAGCCCTCTCATCCAACAGCGCGCCAACTTCTATAATTGACCGGACTTAGCTGCCAGCGTCCGGTCAGGACGTGGCCAGCGTCCGGTCACTGCAGTTTCCTCCTTTTTTCTAAGTCTGCAACCACTTCGCCCTTACTTCCAACTTGCTAACCACAAAGTGTAGAACTTGTGTGCACGTGTGTTAGCATTTTTCAAAGCATTTTACAAGAGTTAAAGTTAGCACTAGGTTCCTAAATGCATATGCAAAATCATGTCACCTAGTGGCACTTGATAACCGTTTAGCCAAAGATTTCCCCTCATTATAGTACGGCTATCGATCCTAAACGTGATCACACTCTTTATAGTATCTTGATCACCAAAAACAAAACATATCTTATACCTTTGCCTTGATCTCCTTGGTTTTGTTTTTCTCTTTCTTCTTTTCCAAGTTAAGCTTGATCACCATCATCTCATGTCCATCTTCAACTCCATGGATCTCATCTTAATCTATCACTTGGATTAGACCACCTTGTCTAATTCACACACTTAGATCAAATATTAGTCTTAGGTTTCACTAATTATCCAAAATCAAATTTGGGCTGTCACCCGTACGACCCCTACTACCCTCACCCATTCGCGTGCGCTGCCTGGTTTCGCTTTGGCTGCCATGGTTATTATGTGTAGAGAATGAAGTAGAGCACCAGCACAAAAAGAATGAGTATAGAAAACGAAGTGCACATTGTGAAGGAATGACAAACATGTTTACTTTTTTTTAAGGATGGGGTTGTCCCACATCTACAAGATATACTCCCTAGGGTTATGACTCCGCCCCTATTGTCTTTGGACCAAACAACAGTAAAAGCAAGATCGTCCCATCCCACCTCATCCCCTGGACCAAACCCTATTTAGCGATTTTTTTCTTAGGGGCAACTACATGGGTGTTGTCTTATAGATGATATAAGTGACGTAGTCATGAGATGATTGAACAACCAATGCATACAAAACGGTTGTTTTTAAGTGTCTTATAGCAATTTAATTATTCTTAATTTATGTAATTAACAAAGAAAAATTTGTGAGTTGTATGGTAACATTAATTTTTATAATGGTGGAGTTGTCTCTATATATAGTCATAAATATTTGTTCATGAGCAAGTTACTTCGTTAAACAACCACCTCTTTTTTTTAGGGGAAATATAAATTTTCTATTACTCGGACAAAGCTGAATCGTCAGCAATTGCATACTGAATACAAAGTGGAATGAGATCTAGGATCGGATCACCATCAAAAGAGCAAATACTACCGAGAGCAGCTAACTTATGTGCCACACTGTTGCTTGGTAGGCACCGGTGCTGAACTCGCCATGAGATAAAATTCAGAGACGGTAAATTCCTTAGCTCCGTCACGCCATTGCACTGAGACCGTAGGAGGGGTGATTGGTTGCCCTGCTCGTGCTATCCAGAGCCCTATCCAGCATCAAGCGGTGCACCGTGGTCATGTTTGGTTTCCCTCCTCACATGTTTTGCTTGCTTCGTTCCATTCATTTGTCTCATTCATCCTGCACGTCTCCGTCTTCTCAATTTCACCTTCCCTCGCGAGCCGGGATGGCTTCATACACGCATGGTGCAGGGGCTTATGTGTCAGACACTCAAAACTTTGATGCATACGTGCAACCAAACACGATCTCGTTTCGTACTGAAACAACAATGAAGACAACCAAATACAGTAAAGTGCATAGTATTATCCTCCACTCCATCCCGGCTCGCTGGCCCTTGAGCAACCAATCACCCTAGGTACAGACAGACTGCACCGCGGCCAAAGCATCAGTTTGGATGATCACCCGTCCCACGCCCGCATCAATTGCAGCCTGTACACCCTGGATACAGGCAATGATCTCGCCCTGCAGAGATTCCAGGAGCGCATCCAGTCTGCCTCGCCGTGCCGCCACCGCGTCCCCATCCGAGTCGCGTAGGATGCAACCCCACCCGCCGGATCCTGTGTACAGATCAAACGCCGCATCACAGTTGACTTTGACGTGGTTTTCAGGCGGGCGTTCCCAGGCACGTCGCACAGGTGGCTTCGCCGGCGTCTCGATGTCTTGCAACTGAGAGCCCCCGCTGCACCAACTCGCCATATAAACCTGAATTCCGTGTGCCAAGCTGCTTGCTTCCCTCTCTTTCTCACCATCCCGAATTCTGTTTCTCTCTGCCCAACGGTACCACAGAATGAAGCAGCATTTCAGCTTCGGATCCTCCTTCATGGCCAACACTGCCTCAATCACATCTCTAGCTGATATTTTCTCGGCAAGCAGCGTCATTTCTCGTTCCAGGCCAAGTAAGCTCCACACTCGTTGTATGGTCTTGCACTTGAAAAAAAGATGAGCCCCATCTTCATTCAGACGTCGGCAGACCACACACCTTGTATCTAATTCCATCCCTCTACGCTTCAAATTCATACGAATTGGGTGACTATTATAGGCAAACCTCCACAGAAAATGCTTTATTTTGCCTGCACAATTAAGCCCCCACAACCTTTTTCACATTGATTCATAGCCTCGGTCTGGATTGGACGCCGAGCCTCCTCTACTTCTTCTGCGCATCTGATCATCTCTGAAAACCTTATATGCACTTTTAACAGAGAAGGCTCCTTTTTTGTCAAAGTGCCAGGCAGCCAAGTTCCTCATTCCTCCATGGACCGGTAGTGCTAAAATGATTTTTGCATCCTCCTCCCAGAAGATATCCCTCACCAACTGTACATCCCAACTGCCGGTCCCTGGGTCAAACAGCTCAGCCACATTGCGTAATAGACAGGCGCCTTTTGGAGTAATCGGCCGACAGGACATCACGGGGCAACCACGGATCATCCCAGATGTTCAAATTTTCAACGTTACCCACCCTCCAGATCAGTACCTTCTTCAGCAGATCGATACCGCGCCAAATGCTTCTCCATGAATACGACACACCCCTCCCTAGCTGGGCATCCAAACAAGCCTTACCGGGATAGTATTTAGCTTGGAGAACTCTGGAACACAAGGACTCAGGTGTATGCAATAGTCTCCAGGTTTGCTTGCTTAGCATAGCCATGTTGAAGCCATGTGCTCTGAAACCGAGCCCTCCATCCTTCTTGGGTTTGATCATCAGCTCCTAATTTACCCAATGAATTTTATGCTTCCCTTCTTACCAATAGTGACAAATCATGGCACTAATTTGGTCGCACAGAGTTTTTGTGATAAAAAAGTCTTTTTCTACCTGATATTGTATGAGATGCCCTTTAAAAGGGTTGATATGAGTAGCAACGTAGCTGCTGTTCTTAGGCCTAGAGATAGATGATGGGCATAAGACAAGGACGTGTGTGCCAAAATCAAGGAAAGAGAAAGGTGCAGTGCCATCCAATAGGTTTCCCTCGACAAATCCTACCCACACACAAGGCCCTAAAAAATATCATCCCTTTTCCTTTCTCTATATAAATAATTTTTTTCCTTCTATTTTAATTTTCCGAGGAGAAAAAACTGAACAGAAAAATCGAGGAAAATGTGCTGCTAGCAGGGTTGAGCGGGCCGAGGCTCCTTGTGTCGACTGTCGACGCCTTCTTCGCCCTCTCCGTCCGCCTCCTCCGCAGCTGGATTCGTGCGCTATTCCCCAGGCCGCCACTCCTACTAGGGTTATCGGATTAGGTTTCTAGAACCTTCCGTCGCCGCCTCCCCATGCACGCGCCGCCGCTGGTCGCGTTCGCCGGGGGCGCCTGCCCCGCCACCGCTGCCTCCTCGCCGTCGCCCTGGCTGGCCTCGCCGCGGGCCGCCATCCTCGCCGCGCCGGCGAGGCTCCTACGGTCCCGCCACGGGGCACTTCGGCTGGCCGCGTGGAGGGCTGCCGGAGGGGGACGGGGCCCGCGGGTCCCGGCCAAGGGCGCTGTGCTCGCCTCCTATATGGGCGCCGAGGAGGTGGTGGGACCCTCGTCGCTGCTCGACGAGGAAGGTTTGGTTTGCTGCTGCTTCTGCTTCCAAATGCAGTCCGCCTTGCGCTTATATTGCCCATATATCTTTTTCATTGTTTCGCACTAGTAACTGCATTTGCGTCACTATCCACTGTCACTACTGGTGTCTTTACTCTGGTCTCTAGTGATGAAGGCACAACTGTCAAGCTGAAGTAGTCTTATGCCAAACTGCTTGCGTAGTCGCATGGAATGGACCTAGGAATTTCACATGCTGACATGCCACATTAATATAGAATCATCTAGTATGCAGAGAAACTGACGACTTCTTTTTTCCCCCCTATTCACACGTTGTGCAGAGCTCATTTCACACATCAGAAAGGAAGTGGATAATGGAAAACTTCCTGCAGATGTTGCCAGTAACCTGGAGGAGCTGTATTATAATTACAGGAATGCTGTAAGAACTGCGGGGCTGATCTTTGCGATATTTTTTATGTACTATAATGATATAATCAGATCGTTATGATTCGTGTCTTGCGAATGTTTTGCTTTATTAGGTCCTGCAAAATGGAGATCCTAATGCATATGAGATCATGCTTTCAAATATGACGGCTTTGTTTGATCGTGTTCTACTGGATGTACAGGTTTCATCATCTACTCTGATTTCCATCACAATTTGCTCCGACAATTTTATTTATTTTCCAAGATGGCCTTTACTATCATGCTCCATCCTTTTGCAGAATCCATTTACCTTTCCACCTTATCACAAAGCTGTGCGGGAACCGTTTGACTATTACATGTTTGGTCAGAACTACATTAGGCCTCTGGTAGATTTCAGGTAATACAAAATCTGACCTGATAACATTTTAATTTCTAATAATTCACACAAAGTTTGCTGCACTTCTTCTGGAAGTTATTCTTTTGACTTGGGTGGATAGCATGCCTTACCAGCTTCACTCACCATTGTTGTTTTCATTTGCCGCGAATTAATTATCTAGAGCATAGAGTTTGGAGGCTCCTTTGTTTTCATGACATGCAAACTTATTGTAGTTTGTAGCACAATGACACAGTGGTAATTTCCAAATAAATCAAATGCTTTGTCCAGATATTTCCAGCATGTTTTATTTTTTTGACGCAAAAACCGTGGGGGAGTTCCCCACGGTGAATCAAAAATTTTATAAAAAGGCAACAAAACAAAGGGGTCCAGGAGATACTTACAAGGAGAGAGAGAGGGGGAGGAGGAGGGGGGGGGCGAGGACTTTACAGACTTTACAGAATTACAACTGCTCAATAGAAAAAGGACAGGGGGCAAAGAAAAGAAAGAAAATTACAACGTGTCAAGCCATAAACAGACTAGGACTCTATCTGAATATTTTAAGCGGTAGGACTGAAGACCAGCTTCCTCCTTGAAATTTCGTGATTTCCAGCATGTTGTTGACTGTTGAGGTTTACATTTTGTCGAATCTAATATAGATGAAGGTGATAATATGTGCTTAATCTATAGTGTAACCTTCAATTCCATTTCTGGAAGCCATGCCCCATTTATCGACATCGTCTTGCTTCAGTCACTTGTTTACTTATTTAACTATTAGTTTAGTGAGAGAAATTTTCGATTAACAAAAGAACGTATTAGCAAGCAAAAATATGGATCTCTAATAGTGTATGGAAAAATCCAACAACAATACGGATGAATAGAGCATACAATTCATCTATGTGCATGCAAAACTTGAGCTTGAACAAAAAAAAATGCAAGGAGAAATAAAAAAGAGAAACCGGCATGTGAATTGTTACGGGTGGAACTGCTCATGTGTAATCCGCAGCCCACCAAAATTCACAAGTTGTTTCCTCTTGTTTTTCTTCCTTGCACAACTTTTTTTCAAGTGCTTTTCGTCAATCTCCTCCATCAACGCATATAGGGCTATTTGCTAACATATTTTGATTTATTTACCACCAAAGCATGCCAGGAGACTTAATAGTTCCCTTATCTTCTGCTAACTTCATTTCATCTGCTCAGGAACTCCTATGTTGGCAACATTTCCCTTTTCCATGACATGGAAGAGAAGCTCCACCAGGTCAATTCATCTTGTTGTTAGTTCACATTACATTCAGTAATTGTCACTAGTTTATTTTTCAGCACTAGATCTTACAATCGTACTGTGAATTCAAACCGTCAAGGTCTTTTTAGAAGAAGAGGATTATGTAAACCATCATTGTGTATTCTGTATTGAAGCCCAATCACATCATATCAACATTCTTCAATGAAAATAAAATGTATATCACTCTGTAAGGACTGAACGGGAACTGATAATTTGTTTCTCATTTTGAGAATTGCTTAGAGATATCTATGGAACATTCAAATTGCAAATACTGCTTTCTTAAAAGTTATAATGACATCATGGCCCGCAATTCTCATATTGGTACACATCTTACGTTGGAATTGAGGTTGTTGCAGTACTTTTCTTGATACACTTATGTACAATCAATAGTTCCTAAAGTTCTTATACAAAATAGTACTGAAATATGTCATCACAGGGCCACAATGTTGTTTTGATGTCTAACCATCAGACAGAAGCAGATCCAGCAATTATCTCCTTGCTTCTTGAAAAAACCAATCCATGGATTAGTGAAAACATAGTAAGGCCGTTCTTTGATTATACACTGTTAAGTTATCAGTGAACTATTTGATCCAATCAAACCAGTTTAAAGTTTCCATCTGATGTAGGTTTATGTTGCTGGCGATAGGGTTGTTACCGATCCACTTTGCAAGCCATTTAGCATGGGAAGGTCTTTCTCTTCACCCAGATCTTTTTTGACATGTGACAATGTCGTCTCTACTTTCTTTCGCTCCTATCAATTTGTCACTTGAGCATTTTCTCCCATCAGAAATCTCATTTGCGTGTACTCGAAAAAGCATATGAATGATTTTCCTGAGCTAATTGAGATGAAGAGGAGATCAAATACTCGAAGTCTCAAGGAAATGGCCTTGCTTTTACGGTATCTTCCCTTACAATAACATGTTAGTTTGTAATCCTTTTTCCCTATGAATATTAAGTCTCTTTGACTCAGATGTCTTACAAATCTGATGATTTGTACCAAAAGCTGGTGCCTAATGGCACAAATTTATATCAAGTAAAAGAGTAAAGAACTATACACTTGCACAAAAATTCACAAATGACATTTCCGTGACCAATCAAACTCTGATGCTTCTTCAGTAATGATTACTTAGATTTGATATGATGAGTTGATGACTATGGAATTTTTAAATCTTTTTGTGCACCATTACTCCTTTGCTAAGTTGGTTCTTGTTCTCGTGAGGCAAAATATTTTCTCATTCTGGATTATCATATATGTAATTGTCTTTACTTTTTGTGCTTGATCTCACATATCTTCGTACAACATTACGCAGTGGTGGTTCACAGTTAATTTGGATTGCACCGAGTGGTGGTAGAGACCGCCCAAATCCTTCAACAGGAGAATGGTACCCGGTATATTCTCTTGCCTGATGGTCTTATTCTTCCATTTTGACTTTTCTATGAATTATCGTACATCTTTTCTTTCAATGTAACTGCATTGCTAACAAGCAAATGAAATGAGATGGTACAGTGACAGTTGTAGAGGTGGCTGACAAGAATTATCTTCTTTTTACTTAAGACAATGCTTGAAAAGTCCACTGCTTTTGTAAGTATATGTTCCCTTATGTTTACTTTATCTGCTACATGCAAAAACAAGGGCAGGCGCCATTCAATTCGTCTGCAGTGGACAATATGAGGAGGCTTCTGGAGCATGCTGGCGTTCCTGGGCACATATATCCGCTATCATTGCTGTGCTATGAGATTATGCCTCCACCACAACAGGTACTGTACTTCATTAGTGCTCATGGCATCTGTTTAAGTATTATTGCTGTGGTACCTCTGAAATTTTCCTTTCTCTTCGAGTTGAATAGGTTGAGAAAGAGATTGGTGAGCAGAGGGTGATATCCTTCCATGGAGTAGGCTTGTCAGTAACTGAAGAAATAAAATATGGGGATATTACTGCTCATACCAAGAATGCTGATGAGGTTTGCTCTCAGTGATATTTATATAAATTGTCATGCTTCTTGATAGTGCCTATGCTCCTTCTATTTCTGTGTGGTAATTGGCTATTCGTTGGCAAGAGCCAACATTCCTCAATCATACTATGCCTGTAAATAGCTGGCTTGTGAATTTTTGCTACACTATAAGCTGATATACTTGTACCTTTTACATTGGAGTTGGGTGGTGGAACTCCATTTCAGGCAGTCAGGTTGATAATAGATTTTGAGTGTTACAAGCAAATAATAAGCTTCTACGGCTCTGTTTGTTCTCTTACCGAAGGCAACTAATATTGCCAAATGTCGTATACATTAATTGATTTAAAGTGGTGGAAATGTCTGGGTATCTATGCTGTTAGGAAAGTTGATATTAGTAGATTGGCCTAGTAATTTGGTCCTTTTCGTGTATGACTTCTTAGAATGGATCAACACTGGTTCATCTCCCTTTTCTCCACGCCATGATAAAATCATAAGAAAATGGCTCATTCTTATTTTTGTTTATAGATGGAATTCAAGCTCTTGCATCAGTGTAATATCGATTATATTTCCATGCTTGTTTTTCTTTTGACTTTGTATGATATTCACAAACCCTACTGATTGTACTTGGAGCTGGTTGAATGGTCCTGTTGCAATCTAAGTTTTGCTCTTAATCTTTAATCCCTTGTCCTTTGAGACAAAAAGGTTTCTTATTAGTAAGAAGTGCCCATGTTAACATAGCGCCTATTACTTTTCCAACGTTTTATTAGCTTGTTGCTCACTGAGCTTGTCTTTGTTTGTTTAATGTTGTTATATATTCCTTGGAAATTTGTTGGTGATTATGACTCTGCTTCTCTTTCTTTTTCATCCAGGGAAGGGAGCTATTCACAAATATTTTGTACAACTCAGTTGTTAATCAGTACAATGTGCTCAAATCTGTTATCTTTAGAGATCGTGGAGCAGCTGTATCAAACAATGTCATCTCACTGTCACAACCATGGAGATGAATGTTAGCTTTCTCAGTTTGGTTCGGACCCTGATCTGAACTTCATTTCCTTGTCCTTCTACTATTTGCTTGACAAATACGTATGGTAGGGTCCATTAAGTATGACTTGAAATTTTGAATCCTTAAAAAGATTGCCCTTGTTTAATTGTTGTCTGGTGTTTATGGGTAATTTTCATACTTAATGTTTATAGTGATCCACTCTTCGCATCTGACAGTTACGCCTAGCATAGACATAGTACCATGTAATCCCAGCTAGACTAGTGTATGTAGATTCCATGTGGTTATGTTTATGTTAATTGATTCATTTATACAGTAATTAATTTTGCTACTGTATGTTAATCTGTGTATGTTATGTTTGTTCATTGACATAACTCATTAGATGGGTGTCCTAACAGACGAATTTTGCTGCTGTATTCAGGTCCAGATTCGTTACTGAAGTTACCTTTTCAGAAGAGCAGGTGAACTGCCATTATGCAATTTTGCTGGGAAAAACTCTTGAACTTTAATCTTTTTTATGTCACTGGACTTTATCAATCATGGTGGAGCCTGTTACTGTCATGCAGATCCTGTAAGTCTTGGGGAAACCTGTTTTGCTCCCTTTGCGAATGCACTGACTGAACCGTATCAAATGCTTGTGTGCTGTGTTTTTGTAGCGCTAAGAAGTCTGCAACTGTTGGTTGGTCAAGGGTGATTGGTGATTCTGCACATAGGGATCGTCGTAACTGTTGCATGCGGTCGTCCGCAAATTACTGCTGCCTCAGGTTGCTCAGCAATGTGCTGGTTGGGCACCGAGGAATCCATCAGGTTGCATCCTTTTTGCCTTGACGTCGATTTGTGTAGTTGAAGTGGTAAATTGTTTTATCTTGTCTCGTCATCATGTATATAGACTCGAGTCTTTTTTGGCTCCACATTTTTTCTTGGAGATATAAAAGCGGCAGGAGTTAGGACATGCCCTCAGTCGGCCCGCCTTGTTGGAATCCTTTGGATGTAACCTGACTATGTCTTATATACACTCACTGAAAGTCGAGGCAAATAGCCCGTGTTTCGAGTACGTGGCTCCATGACTACCTTGCGGCTCCAGTCTAGCTGGAGCTGGAGCGTAAATAAATAATCTATCTGTAGTGATTTCTTTCCTCAGGTTGGAAGTCCTGGCATTGTGACGAAAGTGTAGATTTGCTTGACAAACTCAACTACAGCTGGTGAGCTGGATGGATGGATTATTAAGCATTGTGAGTTTTTTATAAAAAAAATGGATGCACGCATCCCCGCTCGTCTTCCTCCTCGTGACCCCTTCCTCCCCTACCCCACCCCCTGCCTCCGTCCCTGGCCAATGGCTCCCTCGCCGCCACCTCCTGGCCCTGCCCTCCTCGTCATCGCTCCCACTGCTGGCAGCGACCTCCTTCTTCCCCTCCCCCTTCTCTCGTAGCTGCCATGGTTATGGGCGTATCCGTCCCGACCTGGTCCGGTCGTCTTCTACGCCGTCGGAACCTTAACGCCGTCCTCCCGCCATCCCCACCGTGGGGTCGCGTCATCACGATACAAAGCGAGCTTTTTCTCCGCGGCGGCGACGGGTGGGTTGGCCTGCAAATTTTTTTTGTCTTCTTGTGCGTGCACGTGGAAAGGTTTCCGCACGCGCGTGTGTAAATAAGCATTTCCAAGAAAATTATATATCAGGGCGAAAAACATTACGACTTCGATATGTAGCGTGCGTTTGCGTGGGAACGTGATTCCTGCGCGAGTGAAACTGGTGCAGGTCGAATAAACGCCAACTGTGGCAGTCGCCGTCGAGAGCACGCGGTCCGCATAAATTGCAATACAGCAGAATTGTAGAAGTACTGAACACAGCAAGAGTGGACTGTGGACTACTCTGTCTCGTAGAGTAGGTGGTCTACCTGGAACTAAGGATGAAAACGGTCGAACTCGGTCGAAAAACTCCTCAACCGTTTTCTACCTTTTACATTTGAAATACGAAAACGAAAGCGAAAGCGGACAAGCCGGACACGAAAACGAACACGAACTTACGGAATATCTAGAATTTCAGAAACGAACCAATTCGAGCGGAATTATGTTGAACACGGTCGGTATGCGAAAATTCAATACGAAATACCGATCCATAGTGCATAGCATTAAACAAATGCACGACCAAATACATAACAAGTTCACCACTAACAAGTGCATGATCTAGTTTAAGTGCATAGCATTAAACAAGTGCACGACCAAATACATAATAAAAGAGATAAGGCTGGGCGCCGCCTATAAAAGAGGACAGCTAGCCACCAGTAGAAAGAACGCAGCTGCGTGGTGAGCAGCCTGTAATTGAGCTGTATGACCTGTGCAGTTCGCCAAATTCGGTTTAAACCGAATTTTGAATTCGGAATATTTCAAATTACAAGTAGAAAAGTAGAAAATGGTCGAAAAATATGTAAATCGTTTTCTACTTTTACATTTAAAATACGAAACATCTCAAATGCGAAAGCGAAAACGGTAGAAGTCGGACAAGAAAATACGGATTCAATCAAATTAAATATAAAAAACGATGCGGTTCGATTCGGGATATTTCCGTTCCGTTTTTATCCTTACCTGGAACCAGGCTTCGCTTTCGTGTTTTGTGTGCACCTTCGGAAGAATCATTCGCTCGCAGTGTTGCAGGAGAAGGCCCGCGCGGGCCATCTAAACCTAGCTCACTTCCTTTAGGATTCGCGTGACGTCGTTTATGGACTATCCCGGCATCTTTTTAAATTTTTTTTTTTGAAAATACGGCTTTGCCCATGGTCCATGTGGCTACGTCTAATGTTGCTATCGTATCCATCTGCTATGTAAAAAAGGCTGTGGTAAATTCGATCTGCAAAGACCTAGCAATTCAGTGTGTCCGTGCATATTCTGAACCCTATGATGCATCGATGCTGTGCGAAGGATTCAGTATTTGTGGGGTCTCAACAAATCTCGGAGAGAATAGCCTATAAAAAATTCTATGACCACTTAAACCAAATGGTTAGATAATTAAGTTTCAAAGCGAGTGTTGCACTAGCCTACTAAAAATATAAACTATCTATCCACAATTTTAGTTGCTATGATCACTATATCACTTAATGGGTTCTCAAAGACTAACTAAAGAGCCTCACTAACCAAACTAACAAGCTCTCAAAACTAGACGCACTAAAGAGCTTGACTAAATAAGTATATGAAAGTAACTAAAGAGCTTGACTAAACAAGTATATGAAAGTAACTAAAGAGAGGTAGTGAAGGTTATACCCCGTGACAAGTGACAATCAATCAATCACAACGAATATACCCAAGACAAGATGACACAATGATTTTTCCTCCGAGAATCACTTACTTGCCCACGTCCCTGTTGTAGCGATTCACCTACTTGAAGGTTCACGCGCTAATAGGCATCACACGTCTAACTCACAACCGGGTGCCGCCCAACCAACACAAGATGGGGATCCACAAGCTACGCGCAATCCATTAAAGTTGCCTTTGACGCTCTGCGAGAAGGCACAAGAACCCCTCACAATCACCGGGAGGTGTCAAGAACAATCACCAACTCTTGCTAACTCTCCACTGCTGCTCCAAGCCGTCTAGGCATCGGCAAACGCCAAGAGTAACAAGAAAACCGTAGCAAATCGATCCCCAAGTGCCACTAGATGCAATCACTCACTTGAAATCACTCAATCTCACTTTGATTTGCACTATCAAGCAAGCAGATGAGTGTCGGGGACCAAATACTGGGGTACCCAAAGAGGAAGAACTACTAACCATCAAACGTTGATGGTTTCGAACAGACAAGAACGCGACTACACCTCTTGCCCAACGACCGAGGGTTAACTCCGCCTCGTCCGACCCCTGAGGGCTGGCTCCGCCACGTCCAACCCCTGAGGGCTGGCTCCGCCTCGCCCGACGTCCGGGTCAGGCTCCGCCTCGCCCGACGTTTGGGTGCAGACTTCGCCTCGCTCGAGGTCCGAGGGCAAGCTCCGCCTCACCCGAGGTCCGGGGGCAGGCTCCGCCTCGCCCGATGTCTGGGTGCAGACTCCACCTCGCCCGACGTCCGAGGGCAGGCTCCGCCTCGCCCGACGTCTAAGGGTAGACTCCGCTTCGCCCGACGTCCAGGGGCTGTCTTCGCCTCGTCCGACGTCTAGGGGCAGACTCCGCCTCGCCCAACGTCTGTGCGCTGCTCCTTCATAATTACGCGCGTAGATAAGGCGTCACACTTAAGTCAACCGTAATACCGAGGACCATACCCTGCACGTCTGTAGAAAAGTACCATCAGGATATGACCAGACGGGCGCTTTAAGCCCTTCCAGGCATGTCAGAACCCAGACAGTGTTGTGAGCGCCGACATTTGTCCTACAGTGTTATGGGCGCCAACATTTGCCTTCGGACATGAATCTTGATGGAAACATATGACAACCACTATGGTCCAGCAAGAAATTCATGTCATCTACAGTATGAACGTGGGACCTCTACGCCGTCTGCTCCCTGTAGGGTCGCGGCTCGGCACCCTGGTGCATCGCGCCGCCCGTCGGGGCGGGATGGGATGTGACCACTTGCTGAATGAAGCTAGAGCACGGCCCTATCAGGATCAACGAACGTGCTATCCTTGGCACCGTCTGTCGTGTCAACGGGGCAGGCTCAAAGGAAAAGGAAGACCCGACACCTTCGAATGACCTTCTTTGCCTCTGGTTTTTCTTTTTTTCTCCCATCTGTAATCCCTGCTCCCCTTGATCTATAAAAGGGAAGGTAGGGCACCCCACTAAAGGGATGAGTCAATTTCACATACAACACACCACATAGCTAAGCAGCATCCAAGTTCAAGGCATCCGTTCGACCTTTCCATCAGAGACTTAGGACCTGTCCCTCTCTCACCCGTTTATACCCCTACTACGAACCTTTCAGTGCAAATAACACGAGCAGCCATCACGAACTGGACATAGGAACATTCTGCCCGAACCAGTATAAACCTTGTGTCTTTTTAGCACATCATCCGGGTCTAACGCGCAA